GGACTAGAGGCGAGGGACTAGAGGCGAGGGACTAGACTAGAGGCGAGGGACTACGAGGCGAGGGACTAGAGGCGAGGGACTAGAGGCGAGGGACTAGAGGCGAGGGACTAGAGGCGAGGGACTAGAGGCGAGGGACTAGAGGCGAGGGACTAGAGGCGAGGGACTAGAGGCGAGGGACTAGAGGCGAGGGACTAGAGGCGAGGGACTAGAGGCGAGGGACTAGAGGCGAGGGACTAGAGGCGAGGGACTAGAGGCGAGGGACTAGAGGCGAGGGACTAGAGGCGAGGGACTAGAGGCGAGGGACTAGAGGCGAGGGACTAGAGGCGAGGGACTAGAGGCGAGGGACTAGAGCGAGGGACTAGGGACTAGAGGCGAGACTAGAGGCGAGGGACTAGAGGCGAGGGACTAGAGGCGAGGGACTAGAGGCGAGGGACTAGAGGCGAGGGACTAGAGGCGAGGGACTAGAGGCGAGGGACTAGAGGCGAGGGACTAGAGGCGAGGGACTAGAGGCGAGGGACTAGAGGCGAGGGACTAGAGGCGAGGGACTAGAGGCGAGGGACTAGAGGCGAGGGACTAGAGGCGAGGGACTAGACTAGAGGCGAGGGACTAGACTAGAGGCGAGGGACTAGACTAGAGGCGAGGGACTAGAGGCGAGGGACTAGAGGCGAGGGACTAGAGGCGAGGGACTAGAGGCGAGGGACTAGAGGCGAGGGACTAGAGGCGAGGGACTAGAGGCGAGGGACTAGAGGCGAGGGACTAGAGGCGAGGGACTAGAGGCGAGGGACTAGAGGCGAGGGACTAGAGGCGAGGGACTAGAGGCGAGGGACTAGAGGCGAGGGACTAGAGGCGAGGGACTAGAGGCGAGGGACTAGAGGCGAGGGACTAGAGGCGAGGGACTAGAGGCGAGGGACTAGAGGCGAGGGACTAGAGGCGAGGGACTAGAGGCGAGGGACTAGAGGCGAGGGACTAGAGGCGAGGGACTAGAGGCGAGGGACTAGAGGCGAGGGACTAGAGGCGAGGGACTAGAGGCGAGGGACTAGAGGCGAGGGACTAGAGGCGAGGGACTAGAGGCGAGGGACTAGAGGCGAGGGACTAGAGGCGAGGGACTAGAGGCGAGGGACTAGAGGCGAGGGACTAGAGGCGAGGGACTAGAGGCGAGGGACTAGAGGCGAGGGACTAGAGGCGAGGGACTAGAGGCGAGGGACTAGAGGCGAGGGACTAGAGGCGAGGGACTAGACTAGAGGCGAGACTAGAGGCGAGGGACTAGAGGCGAGGGACTAGAGGCGAGGGACTAGAGGCGAGGGACTAGAGGCGAGGGACTAGAGGCGAGGGACTAGAGGCGAGGGACTAGAGGCGAGGGACTAGAGGCGAGGGACTAGAGGCGAGGGACTAGAGGCGAGGGACTAGAGGCGAGGGACTAGAGGCGAGGGACTAGAGGCGAGGGACTAGAGGCGAGGGACTAGAGGCGAGGGACTAGAGGCGAGGGACTAGAGGCGAGGGACTAGAGGCGAGGGACTAGAGGCGAGGGACTAGAGGCGAGGGACTAGAGGCGAGGGACTAGAGGCGAGGGACTAGAGGCGAGGGACTAGAGGCGAGGGACTAGAGGCGAGGGACTAGAGGCGAGGGACTAGAGGCGAGGGACTAGAGGCGAGGGACTAGAGGCGAGGGACTAGAGGCGAGGGACTAGAGGCGAGGGACTAGAGGCGAGGGACTAGAGGCGAGGGACTAGAGGCGAGGGACTAGAGGCGAGGGACTAGAGGCGAGGGACTAGAGGCGAGGGACTAGAGGCGAGGGACTAGACTAGAGGCGAGGGACTAGAGGCGAGGGACTAGAGGCGAGGGACTAGAGGCGAGGGACTAGACTAGAGGCGAGGGACTAGAGGCGAGGGACTAGAGGCGAGGGACTAGAGGCGAGGGACTAGAGGCGAGGGACTAGAGGCGAGGGACTAGAGGCGAGGGACTAGAGGCGAGGGACTAGAGGCGAGGGACTAGAGGCGAGGGACTAGAGGCGAGGGACTAGAGGCGAGGGACTAGAGGCGAGGGACTAGAGGCGAGGGACTAGAGGCGAGGGACTAGAGGCGAGGGACTAGAGGCGAGGGACTAGAGGCGAGGGACTAGAGGCGAGGGACTAGAGGCGAGGGACTAGAGGCGAGGGACTAGAGGCGAGGGACTAGAGGCGAGGGACTAGAGGCGAGGGACTAGAGGCGAGGGACTAGAGGCGAGGGACTAGAGGCGAGGGACTAGAGGCGAGGGACTAGAGGCGAGGGACTAGAGGCGAGGGACTAGAGGCGAGGGACTAGAGGCGAGGGACTAGAGGCGAGGGACTAGAGGCGAGGGACTAGAGGCGAGGGACTAGAGGCGAGGGACTAGAGGCGAGGGACTAGAGGCGAGGGACTAGAGGCGAGGGACTAGAGGCGAGGGACTAGAGGCGAGGGACTAGAGGCGAGGGACTAGAGGCGAGGGACTAGAGGCGAGGGACTAGAGGCGAGGGACTAGAGGCGAGGGACTAGAGGCGAGGGACTAGAGGCGAGGGACTAGAGGCGAGGGACTAGAGGCGAGGGACTAGAGGCGAGGGAAGTGACGAGAGGGACTAGACGCGGAGGACTTGGCAACGTACCACATGAAGCAAACGGAAGATTGTGGTTTTTTTAGCAGATCGGGACTAGGGGATGTCGCGCTTGATCACGTACGGCTAATGGCGGGATCTAATGTATTTATCTCGCGCTACGACGATGGAATACTCGTCATATCCGACAATCAGAACTCGTTTCCAAAGCTCAAGACGCCACCACTACACCTCTGATCGATTTTTTCCGCAGCAAAAACTTTATGGCAGTGCCTTGGGCAGTTACTGACTCGTTGCGTCTGGTGTACATTTTTAAATACCTCCCTGGTGTCAAGTGTGGCTGTCTAAGATACTCTAGGTATGGGAATAATTTACGTCTGAACACCGGTTGCACACCCATGGAGCTCTTGAACGACGAGGTGTGGGGGTGTGGTCGCATGGAGGACAGTTTCAGTTGACTCGTGCGACTCTAGGGTTCGTCGCACCCTGTTCAAACAAAATTGTGCCCTTGCAAGGAGTGCCGAGGTCCACTTGCAGTGTTTCACGTTGTCGCAACACGTTTCTTTTCGCGTAGAGGGGAGATTAGTGTTCCACAACGGGCCGTCTATTTCTGACCTCAAAAAATTACAGCTTGCAAGAGCACCACAAGGTGATCTTTTTTAGCCTGTGGTTTACAGTATTGTGATTGTGGAGGTGAGGGTATCGATCCCCTTACCTATCGCATGCGAAGCGATCGCTCTACCATGTGAGCTACACCCCCATGTTTTCATGTGGATCACATAAATCCTATACTGTAATACCGTGTAATCGACAAAAAACAGAAAAAATGGGAAGTATTAGCAAGCGTGGCGTTTCACTCACGAACACGATCAGCAGCAGTGAGACAGCCCCTCTAGGCGTCCTGTGACCAACAATCCCCCAACTCCCCTTCTCCCAAACATGCCTTGCCTTGCAGACCCATCCCGCTAGCACCTGCAACTTGTGCTTGGAGGCACTTGGGAGGGGCTCAGCTCCAGAGCAATTCCAATGGCTCATGCAAGCACAGACAAGGAGGAAAGGAACGAAGTACAAGGAGACGCAAAAAGGTTGACTAGCACGTGGGGGGGTTCAATTACACACACAATCGGCTGACTCGACTCTCTAGGCGTCCTGTGATAAAAATCCCCCCGAACCCCCTTGCCCAAACGCATCGTTCCTAGCCTTGCAGCACCTGAAACCTTGGCTCGCACTGGGAGGGGCTCGGCTCCAGAGCAGCCCCAGTGGCTCGTGCACACGCATGGGAGGGAGGAAAGGAACGAAAGCAAGGAGACACTAAAATTCATTAGCACATGGGGAGTTTCAATCATCGGCACAATTAGCAGCAGTGACTGGGCTCTTGAGATGTCCTGTGACCAAGATTCCACAAACCCCCTTCCTCAAACACAATGTTCCTTGTAACCCTGCAGGCACCTGAAACCTCGGCTGTCAGACACTTGGGAGGGGATAGGTTGCAAGTTAATGAAGCAACCACCAAAAGGGTATATAACACCTGCAACCATGCAAAAATGCAAAAGAGGAGGGGGAAGGAAAGTACACACGCATGACCCGCTGACCCGCTGACCCGCTGACCCGCTGACCCGCTGACCCGCTGACCCACTGACCCGCTGACCCGCTGACCCGCTGCTCTCCCGCTGCTCTCGCGCTGCCGACCCGCTGACCCGCAGCTCTCCCGCTGCCGACCCGCTGACCCGCTGCTCTCGCGCTGCCGACCTGCTGACCCGCTGCTCTCGCGCTGCTGACCCGCTGACCCGCTGACCCGCTGCTCTCCCGTCCACCCGCTCTCTCGTCCACCGCTCTCTCGCCCACCCGCTCTCCCGCCCACCCGCTCTCCCGCCACCCGCTCTCCCGCCCACCCCGCTCGCTCGCCCACCCGCTCTCCCGCCCCACCCGCTTCTCCCGCCCACCCCCCTCCCGCCCCACCCGCTCTCCCGCCCACCCCCCTCCCGCCCAACCGCTCTCCCGCCCACCCCCTCCGCCCACCCGCTCTTCCGCCACCGGCCCACCGGCCCACCCCGCTCTCCCGCCCACCCGCTCTCCCGCTCTCCCGCCCACCCGCTCTCCCGCCCACCCGCCCACAAGCCCACCCGCTCTCCCGCCCACCCGCTCTCCCCCGCTCTCCGCCCACCCGCTCTCCCGCCCACCCGCTCTCCCGCCTCTCCCCGCTCTCCCGCTCTCCTGCCCACCCGCGGGATGTGGAGGTGAGGGGTATCAACCCTAAACCCGCCCTCCCGCCCCCCTCCTCACCCGCTCACCCGCCCAGCCGCCCTCCCCCCCACAAGAGTGGCGACAAAGGCCATCCTCTCTTACTTTAAAAAGGCGGGATGTGGAGGTGAGGGGTATCAATCCCCTTACCAATCGCATGCGAAGCGATCGCTCTACCATGTGAGCTACACCCCCATGTAAGATGATCCATACAGAGAAGACGATAGGAAAAGAAAGGACACAAGAGGTGGGAAGCATTCACAAGTGCGGTGTTTCAATCATCAACAGACACGATCAGCAGCATTGAGCCTGACTTGCCGCGCCAAACACCCCCCAACTCCCCTTTCCTCAAACGTCCCCTTGTCCAGCTGACCCATCCTGCTGCTGGCACCTGCAACCTTTTGAGGCGCCTCAAAAGCATCCTGCTGCTGGCACCTGCAACCTCAGGTAGCCAGCAGTTCAGAGTGGGGCTCTGCCCACTCCAGACCAGCTCCAGACCAGCTCCAGACCAGCTCCAGACCAGCTCCAGGGCCTCATGCACACACGCCAAAGGAGGGAAGGGCTTTGAGTCGCCTCAAAAGTCGGCTCTGTTCCGCTCCGCTCCAGACCAGCTCCAGGGCCTCATGCACACACGCCAAGGGAGGGAAGGGCTTTGAGTCGCCTCAAAAGTCGGCTCTGCTCCGCTCCGCTCCAGACCAGCTCCAGGGCCTCATGCTCGCAAACAAAGGGAGGGTTGAGTCGACTCAAAAGTCTGCTCTGCACCGCTCCAGACCAGCTCCTGTGCCTCATGCACCCAAACGAAGGGAGGGAGGGAATGAAAAGCAAGGAGACACACAAGAGGGAAGCATAGCACATGCACAGGTTCAATGCAATTCACGACCAGCAGCAGTGACTCGACTCTCTAGGCGTCCTGTGACCAAGACCCCCCCAACTCCTCTATCCCCAAACGTACCCTTGCCCTGCTGACACATCCTCATGGCACTTGGCTGTTTCAAGAATGGCTAACGGACTTCGCGGCATCCTATGGGCTCAAAATCACTTCCCGGGCCCGTTTGCAGTGCCTTGCACACAGAAAACACAGGAGGGGCAGGAGAGGGGAGGGGAAACAGGGAATATGGGAGAGTAGGGAGAAAAGAGGGAGCAGGGGAGGGCAACAGGGAAGGGGAGGGGTCAGTACTTCCACAAATTCGAAACGGACGCAAAGCAACTAGCAGCTTTACTCTCTAGGCAGGCCATCTTAGACGCCTGGGTGAAACCTCCCCCATCCCCCCCCCCGCCCCCCTAATGCCCTCAAAGCTTCGAAGTACCTCGGCATAGTTGTTGTGGTTGCTTGGTGCAGCTCTTGTGGTTGCAGGCCGTCTGGTGGTTGATCTGTTGAGACAGGAAACCCTGCATGGCCCATTCGATGGCTGACGAATCCCATTCCCACAGCAACTCACAGCCCATCCCCCTATTCTCCACCCACGAACGTGTGCCTTGCACACAGAAACGCACATCAACGAGCAGGGCGGGGGCAGGAGAGGGGGGTGGGTGAGGGAGAGGGAAGAGAGGGGCGCATGAGTACACGAAAATCGTATACGAACGGACTCGGAACAAGAAAGCACCATGACTCGCTAGGCGGCGCTATCTTAGACGCCGAAACACCCCCCCAAGGCCCTTGTTTCAGCCACGCGACTTGATGTGATTGTGGCAGGCTGGCAGCCCAAGCCCGGTTGTCGAAGCTCCCCTCGTTCCCCTTGCAAAAGGCCTGCCGCTTGTTGGAAAGAGAGGAGATGCTCTGTTAGCTGCTGCTGCTGCTGCAGCGAAGGTAATCACTGCAAGGCGAGATTGCAGTACCTTGCACACAGAAACGCCGAGGGGTGTGGAAGAGCGGAGAGAAAGGAAGGGAGGAAGACAGAAAAAAGGTAAGGAGTAGTCCACGCATAGGCATATGAATGGACGCAGAAGAAGAAGTATGACTGGTAAGGAGTATGACTCGTTAGGCGGCGCTATCCTGGACACCTACACATCCCCCCCAGCACCCTTGTTTCAGCCACGTACCCTTGGAGGAGGTGTGGCAGGGCATCCAATGCTTAAAATCCGCGGCCCAAATTGTTCAAACGCACTGCGTATGAACTTTGACCCTCATGCTGTACGAAATACACTGGAAAATCGCAAGGGCGTTTACTCTCGCAAATTCAATGCTGGTCGTGAACCGTCAGATTTACAAACACACAGTTTGACGGATGCCAGCATGGGGGGAGGGGGCGCGGTGGGCGAGCTGGGCGGCGTGGGAGGGGCGGCGCGGGGCACTCAGGAGACAGTCTGGGCGGCAGACTCGATTATAGAGGCGGTGGAATTGGCGTCGATGGAAGAGGCTAGGATGACTCCCTTTATCAAGGTAAGGTCTGATATATACGTGTATCTCTAGGCTGGTATCGTTTTGAGACGTCTCAAAATTATCGAGGTAAGGTCTAATGAGGTATATGACTGGTCTGTGTATCTCTAGGCTGGTATCGTTTTGAGACGTCTCAAAATTATCAAGGTAAGGTCTAATGAGGTATATGACTGCTCTGTGTATCTCTAGGATGGTATCGGTGCATGCTGGTTTGGGCTGCAGACTCAATTAGGGAGGCGGTGGTTTTAGCGTCGATTGAAGAGACCAGAGTGACTCCCTTTATCGAGGCAAGCTTTGGTAACGAGCCAAAGTAGGGGTATTGCGGATGTGTCAAGGTAGGGGGTTTGCTGACGTGTCAACGTAGGGGGTTTGCTAACGTGTCAGGGAGTTTGCCCTTCTAACCACTTCCCTTTTTTCCAACTCCCCTCCCCATCTGCCCATCCCTGCCAGGACCCCTTTTTTGAGGCGCCTCAAAAACAGGACCCCCGTGACCCCAACCGTCTCTTGCCATCCTTCCAACCTGACGTGCTTCTCCTCGGCCACCACCCCGCTGCCTTCACTCTTTGTTCAAATCTCAACACTCTGGGTGTTTCTTTGTGCTGCGTCCCCCTTCCCCCATCTCCCCATCTCCCCCTTCCCCCATCTCCCCATCTCCCCCTTCCCCCATCTCCCATCTCCCCCTTCCCCCATCTGCCCATCCCTGGCAGGACCCCAGTGACCCCAACAGCCTGCTGCCCTCCTTCCAGCCCAACGTGCTGCTCCTTGGCCATTCCCCCGCCGGCTTTGTGCTGCGTGCGCTCGCCAGCGTCAAGCCCTCTGAGCTCGAGCAAGCGCTGCTGGTGGGTTGGGGGTGGGATTGTGAGTTGATGTAGGGGGAAATGGGCTTACAAGCACTGCTCCTGGTGGCTCCTGGCCATTCCCCCGCCGTCTTTGTGCTGCGTGCACTCGCTAGCGTAAAGCCGTCCGAGCTCGAGAGAGCGCTGCTGGTGAGTGAAGGGCTGACATGGCTTTGGGGAAACATGGGCACGCTTGCTCCAGCAGCAGAAGCACGCTTTGGGCTTTGGCTTTGGGCACGCTTGCTCCAGCAGCAGAAGCACGGTTTCTGCTCCGCGCCCATTCGCCTTCCGAGTCGACTCATTCCCTTTTTGAGTTAACTCAAAAGGGTTGAAAGGGCTTTGGAGAAACATGAGGACGCAAGCACGGTATCTGCTCCACGCCCATTCCGCTTCAGCCTTGGTGCCCTGTGCTTTCGCCAGTCAGGAAAGGGGTAACAATCACAAGTCCATCCATCTTTCCATCACTGAGTTTAGTTTTGAGGCGCCTCAAAACTATTCGCCAGTGAGGAAAGGGGTAACAATCACAAGTCCATCCATCTTTCCATCACTACGCTTTCTTTCTTCCAGCATTCCCTTGCCGCCTTCGGTCTAAGTGCTTTCAATCCCCACCCACGCCCCCACCCTATGAGCCAACTCAAGCAATCCCCACTTGGCTCTGCACTGGCCGCACCAGCCGCTGCTGGAGTCAGTCATGAGGCGTCTCAAAACATGTCCGCCTCCCAACCCTCCCCTTTCAGGTGCTTCCGTTCACAGTGCAGTGGCCCTCAGAATTCTGCACTTCGCCCCGCACTTCGCCCTGCACTGGCTGCACCATCCGCTGCCCTAGGCGCCTCAAACACAGCCATCCGCCCCTCACTATTGCGTCTTCACCTGAGCCCTCCTCTCCCGCCCCCTCCCCCCTTTCTCCCCTTGCTCCCTTGTCAGGTGCTTCCCTTCACAGTGGCTCTCAGGATTCTCCACTTCGCCCCGCACTGGCTGCACCACCCACTGCCCCAGCTGGAGTTTGCTGCCCGCGCGTTGGTGTCTCTCGTCCGCATCCACCACTCGCAGCTAATCGCCACCCCCACTGCCCGCCCGCTCCTGGCTGCCGTGCACACGCTGCTGAGAGTGTCACTCAAGGTGTGCTTTGGGCTGTCTGATGGGGGGCAATTTGATGCCTGTGGTGGTGTGCAAGGGCGTGAAAGGGCGTGAAAGGGCTGCACTCACAGCTCATTGCCACGCCCACTGCCCGCCCGCTACTGGCAGCCGTGCACACGCTGCTGAGAGGATCACTCAAGGTATGGCTTTGGCTGCCCGGGCGTGGGTTGCCAACCCCACCGCCCACCCGCTGCTTGCTGCTGCTGTGCACATGCTGCTAAGGGCTTCTTCATTCTAGGTACGGCTTTGGCTGCCTGGGCGTGGGGTGGTCGTTCACTTGCAGCTCGTTGCCACCCTACTGCACGCCCGTTACCGGCTGCCGTGCACGAACTCTTATGTGCCTCACCCAAGGTAGGTACCTCGCGTCGATGGAATCGCATGGCATGGCATGATGAGGGTGGGCTTTGTTGGGGCGTGGAAAGGGACGAAATGCTGATGGTTGTTCTGACAATCTATGCGACTGTGTGCATGGCATGATGTGGTGGTTTCTTCTATGGCATGGCATGATGTGGTGGTTTCTTCTATGGCATGGCATGATGTGGTGGTTTCTTCTATGGCATGGCATGATGTGGTGGTTTCTTCTATGGCATGGCATGATGTGGTGGTTTCTACTTTGGCATGGCATGATGTGGTGGTTTCTTCTATGGCATGGCATGATGTGGTGGTTTCTATTATGGCATGGCATGATGTGGTGGTTTCTTCTATGGCATGGCATGATGTGGTGGTTTCTTCTATGTCATGGCATGATGCGGTGGTTTGTGCTATGGTTGGCAGGACGCAGTAGCAACCGTTGGATGCAACTTGGCAGCTATATCTCACATCAAGGTGAGCCATTGCCATGGGTGTGTGTATTTCTCTATGTGTGCCGATGGGGGAGGAGAAATGAGGGAGGATGGGTGAGTGGAGTTGTGTGGATGAGGTTCAGGAATGCATAGAAATGTTTCTCTTTAACTTAGCTTACCAGTTTCTGCCTTCTCTTCCAAACGGCATCCTTGTCTTATATCCCCACCCCACTGTATTGTTTCCCCTTTGGCTTGCGTTGTCCCCTCCAGTCCCTCCTAGCCTCATCCCAAGCCTCCATGGATGGGGGGGATGCCACTGGTATGGCCGAGAAGGTGAGGGAGATAAGGGAAAGGTTGGCTAAGGGGCGGAATGCTGTGATTGCTGAGAAGCTTCACAGGAGTAAAGCGGAGAAGCGCAAGCGCAGGGCGGAGAAGAAAACTGTGTTGAAGAAATGATTTGCAAGCCGCACTGGGTGGGTGTTCAGATCAGAGACAAGCCATGTGGCAATGAAGTTGTGCTGATTTGTGAATGCAGTCGAAATAAATATTATCACGTAGCTGCAGCGCTCTTGTGGTATCGATATTGCATCTAATGCTAGTTTTGTGAGGGTCACAAATGCTGAAGCTATTCAAGGAAATAGAAATCGGAGATTTTGATACAAGTGCGGATGTTACGGGCTCCAATTTTCTGGAGCTCTAAAGCTCTTGGCGAGTACGCGTTGCACCAATCTGTTCCCTCCACCTGGCAGAGGAGCCCCACCCAAATGTTGCCTCCCGTGCAGGGAAGGTCCACCTACGCAAACTGGAACCGAAGCGCCCATCTCCGCTGTAACTTGCCCAATTCCCAGGAAACGTGAGTTGAGCCTGGCCTTTGGCAGAGCACTTAGCAGGTGCAGCTGTGGAGGTGTAGGAGCCCCCAAACGTACTTTCCGCACCAACACTTAGCTCACGTCAAGGAAACTCGCACTGATCTGCCATCGCTTTTCTGATAGGTCGGTTCCAGCCCGAACGTCTCTGGGCTGGAAACCTTCACCGCAACCCACGGTGGCACGCTGTCTGATCTTTGATGTTGGAACGCGGCTCGATAATTGTGGGGGGCATAAATTGCATTTCTCCAATCCTCCAAGCGCGCATTTGCAAATTGATCAGCCCCTCACGCAGAAACCATATTTATACCATTCAACAGTCTCCGCCATTACTCACATTGGTACTGTCCCGGTCGTTTTGCCATCGAAGAGGCTCGATTCGCTCGAGCGCATCAGCCGGTGTCGTTTCGAACTATATCTCAGCGACTCTTCAATCTTGCATACCTTGCTTCAAGGTGGACTCAAACCCTGATTCGTACCATCACGCACCGCGACTTCACTTACTTCACTGACGTCAGCCCAGTCAATACAGAAAACCCGCGACCTCGGCTCAGCATGAGAACTCTCTTCGCCGCGGTTCTCATCTGCATCGTAGTGACAATGTGTGACAGCGGCGGTGTCGCCGAGGCGACGATTTCCTGAGCCCTGCGACGGAAACGGCGCTTCTCGCGTTCAAGTCGTCTGTCGGCCTGACCGACGCGTCGTGGGCGGCGGGGCAGGCGTGCCTGCCGACGGACGCGGAGCCGGGCGTCACGGCGGGATGGACGGGACTCACGTGTGATGAAGACGGCAATCCCGAGGCAATGTGAGTGCGACACGTGGCTGCACTATGGGATGACATGGCACATGGCGACGAAGTTAAACTCTTGGCTTTGGTTGATTCCGATCTCGTTATACGGTTGATTCTTATTTTGCTCTTCATGTGCCCTAGCCTCGTCCGTACTGTGTGCCCATCCACCCATCCACCCACCCAACCACCCAACGCTCGCTGCAGAATTCTGCCCAATCTCAACCTCCAGGGGTCCATTCCGCCCCAGATAGCGACCCTCGTTACACTCACCGCCATGTAAGAGCTCAGGCATCCCACCAATTAAGGGGCGGTGATCGGCCTTTCCACCCTCCACAGCTGGTAACCCCGTCTATGCACACTGCTCCTCTCTGCCAGAGCCCTGCTGACTTCTCACTTCTCATCCCAGGGGCATCTTAAACTCTCCATTCCCTTTGCTTCGTCTCACTGCCACGTGTACCTCTGCCACGTGTTCCTCTGCCACGTGTTCCTCTGCCACGTGTTCCTCTGCCACGTGTTCCTCTGCCACGTGTCCTTTGTTCCAGCGAGATGAACAACAACTCCTTCCACGCGCGCCTCTCCGACTTCGTTGGCAACCTGCTCGCCCTGCCCAACCTCAAAAACGCTGTGAGCTTTAACCCCTAAACCATGTCAACTACTCACTCTTGAATCCTATTATCCGAACTCGCAATTCCCCGCGTCTTTAACTTAGTGTAAAGTGAACTTTCTTTCATAATTAATCCGGTCATCCTTGCACTGTTTTCTCTAGAAATGTTGCTTCCCACGTCCTCATCCCCGCACGCGCCACTATCCTCAACACCTGCCTCTGCTTGCACAAACACCCTACAGGAGCCTGTGCGATAACTACCTCTTATGGGCCCCATCCCAGCGTCACTTCTCAACATGCCAATCTTAAACAATCTGTAAGCCACCATCTTCTAACTACTTTCATCTGGGTTGTGTGTTCATGTGCAGAGGCTCAAGCGGCCTCTCGTCTTTGCTCCTCATTTCTGTAAAACCATATTTTGCTGGCAGTCTCCCCTACCTACTCCTACCACTCTCTCGTATGCCCCTCTTATGCCCCACTCTCCCCTTCCCTCCCTTCTCCGGCTCCTCTCTCAAGTTCCTCCCATACCCCTCCCCCCCCCCCCCCCCCATTACCAACCTCACCCCCCCCCCCCCATACCAACTCACCCCCCCATTACCAACCCTCACCCCCCCCCCATTACACCTCACCCCCCCCCCATTACCAACCTCACCCCCCCCCCCCCATTACCCAACCCACCCCCCCCCCCCCCCATTACCAACCTCACCCCCCCCATCCTCAGTCTTCTCACCAAAAACTTTCTCTCGGGAGTCGTCCCTCCCTTCTCCTGGCTCCTCTCTCAAGTTCCTCTTTGCTCAACGGCAACTTTCTCACCGGCCGCCTTTCCCTGCGTCTCAAGCGGCCTACTCGCATGCTCCTCCTCCCACAACTGCTTCAGCGACAGCAGCCGGTGCCGCACGGACGGGGTCGCGACTCAGAGGAGCGCAACGGAGTGTGCCATCTGCGGGGGCGGGATTGGTGTGCAGCAGCCGTGTGGGGCGCAGGGGGTGTGCGCACCTGTGGTGATGACGCTGCAAGCCAGCACGGCACAGAAGGCTGGAGTTGAAGTGCCTCGGTAAGTGGCTTAGCTTACTCGTGTTTGATTCGGGCTCCTCATCTACCAGCAGAGAAGCACGGTACCGTGTATGCGCACTTTATTGAGCATGCCTTGTGCTCGTGTTGTTGCCTCATTCTCAGGGATCTCAGATACGTCGATCCCTCAGCCCTTCTATCAAGAGCTGGTGGCACATTGCAGGTGGCCAGTAAACCACAGGAGGGGGAGGAGTTGGAGGAACACCCTCCCCGACAGCAACCCCCACCCCCACCCCACCACCCCCCCCGCGCATGCACGAACCAGAGAAACCCGTGCAAACCCAGCCCGCACCACCAACACATGCTTTCCTGCTCACCTATAACCCCCTGAATCTTACAGATGGCAGTGCGCCAGGAGGAGGAGCAAGAGGCAGACGGAAGGAACCACCCCCCCTGTCAGCAAGCCCCCAGCCCAGCAGCATGCAAGAACCAGAGGAACCCATGCAAGCCCAGCCCGTGCCGCTAACGCATGCTTTCCTGCACACTTATGCCCTCCCATGAATCTCACAGGTGGCAGCAACCCAGGAGGGGGAGGCGGTGGAGGAACCACCCCCCCGGTCAGCAGGCCCCCAGCATGCAAGAACCAGAGGAACCCGTGCAAGCCCAGCCCGTGTCGTCGGCCCAAGCGCTGCATCCGCACCAACTCGTGCAAGGGCAGGGGCTACCGCTGCGGGTGATTTGCCGGCGCAGGACCTAACCACATGTACCACCTACTGATGGTTGATGTTCTAGTATGTACTAGGGAATGTAAATAGCTAGTACTTGACAGGAGTGCTCAGCTCTGTGTGCATTGAAAATTTTCAGGGGGGTTGTACCCTTTTTTGGGCGATAGCACCAATTTGCAGATTGCAGTATAGCATGCTCAAACGACAAGAGAACAAAATGGGACAAAAGCCCAAGCCGTATTTCTACCATATGTACAGCCAGAAAGGGTTGCGGCACCTCCCAGCACAGGAAGCGCACACAGCAACGGGAAGCCCAGATTAGAGGCTTCCAAGAAAAAAGGTTGCCCAGGAAACAGTGGATGAGCATGGAGGAAGGCCCCTGTCTCTGATAGAGAGGAGGATGGAGGGGAAGGATGGTGACGAGGGCTTGATGCTGCTCTGCAGCATGGCAGGCAAACGGTAATGGGCATCACAGCAACTGGCGGGCAGACAGGGCACAGCCAGCACATCAGGGCAGACAGGAAGCTACATAGGTGGCGGGCGCAATCCATGAGGTACCGTCCCACACATCAAGGTGCCTGGACAAGGTGCCTGGACAAGGTGCCTGGACAAGGTGCCTGGACAAGGTGCCTGTCGACAGGCTCTGGCATAGCAGCAGCGCGTCAACCAGCCCCTGGCACTGCAGCACATGCTCTGGGCACCCCCTCACTGCAGCATCTGCTCCCTGCGGCTCACCAGCAGCAGACGAACTCACCCCCTCGCATGGCAGGCGAGCAGCCAGCTGCCGGGCGCAGTGCATGAGCTCCCTCACTTCTACTTGGCCGGAGAGGCTGGAGCACCTCGTCCAGGCCCGGGCAGCACAGCACGTGATCCCTGCGGCTCACCAGAAGCAGGAGAACCCAACCCTGCTTTAGGGAAGACGGGAGGATAGCTGTCTTGCACAATCCATGAGGTCCCACACGTCCAGCTGCCCCGACAGGCTGTTGCACAGCAGCAGCACCTCGTCCAGCCCCTGGCACTGCAGCACCTGCTCCCTGCAGCTCACCAGGATGGCCGCCACCACAAAGAGCAGGAAGTCCGGCCGCGCCCGGCACTCCTGCCACGCCTTCTTCCTCCTGCTGCTGCTGACTCCGCCAGTAACTTTGTTACCAACACTGTCGCTGTTACTATTGCCGCTGTTGGTAGTCTTGGTCCTGGAGTTGGTGTTGCTGTTGGTGCTGGTGCTAATGGCGGCAGTGGCGTCAGTGCTTGTGGGGCTCCTGTCAACGCCTGCCCAGCCAAAAGCAGCACCCCATCCGCTGTCCAGCAGAGGGGCAGTCTCATCATCCCTCTCCCTGTCCTCCTCCCCCACGTGCTCGCCTTCCCCATGGCTCTTCTCCTCTCCCTCAACCGCTTCTACCTTCTCCCACTCGCAATCCTCCCCTGCCTCGGCATCTGCCTCTTTCTCAGCACTACCCACACTCTTCCCACAATCCTCGAAAACAGCAGCAGCCCCAACAGAAGCAGCAGCAGCAGAAGCATCACCAGCAGCAGTGGCAGCAGCAGCACGGGCCACATTTGCAGCAGCGGCAGCAGCGGCAGCTTCAGCCCACATGACCTCCCAGAGGCACATGGTGTGTTCAAACGACAGCTCTCTCCTCATCAGCACCACCACACACCGGTACGCAAACATGCAGCTCTCCGCTCCTACTGCTTCTAGATGCGCGTATAGTGGTGGGTCAGCTGTGCGCAGTAATGCTGCCACCCGCGCCAGCTGGCGCCGAATGCCTCTCTCGTCCGTTCTGAAGTTGTGCCGAGCTCCGCCGCCCGCACTGTTACCAGCAACCATGGTGCTCTCGCTGCTACTGTCGCTGCCAGCAGCAACGCTAGTGCTGCAGTCGCTGCTGCCCACCCCACCTCGCTGCATGAACGCCACGAAGCACCAGAAGGCCTCCGAGTCCTCCTCCAGGAGAGCTACAAACGGGGATAAGAGATCGCTCATCCCCTGGCAGTACCCCACCTCGGGATCGTACACCGCATACGCCTCCAAAATCGCCACCAGCCGGGCAGCATGCAGCCGCTGGGGTGGCGACAGGTGTCCGTGCTCAGGCAACCCCGCTGCTGCTGCCGCCTCTAGGGCTTCTTCGGGCGGGAAGGCCTTCTGGGTGGAGTATGGGATCCAGGCTGCGTTCATCCGCACCGCATCCAACCGCATGATCCGCTGCCAGGTTACGAAGTTCTCCAGGGACCCACTGCCTCGCCCGCAGCTGCTGCCCCTGCCGGCTTGTGGCCCCCCTCCCACTCCTGCTGCTGCTCCGTTGCTAATGCTGGTATGGGAGGGTCTGCGTGGGCAGAAGCACTCCGGGACCTTGCAGTCTAGCGGGTGCTCTTGAAGGTGGTCGCGTGAGGCCCCATCATCATCATCACCATCGTCCGCTGTGCCGTCGCCATCGCTGCTGCGTCCGCCGCTCCCATTGCCACTCTCTCCCCTACAGCTGCCTTCCGTGGCTCCTTCGCCCTCACACCTATCAGCCGTTTCTCCCGCCCCTGCTTCTGATTCTGCGGCTGCTTCCCCTGCTTCGCCTGAAGCGACGGCACCAGCAGCACTCAAAGCAGCAGCAGCAGCAAGCGAGGCTGCATCAACATCAGCGTCAGCGTCAGCGTCAGTGTCAGCGTGAGCATCAGCAGCGTGCTCACGGGCGACATCCACGAAGGATTCGGTGGAGAGGGACAGACTGGCGGACACTGAGTCCACGCACACCGCATCACTGAACTCATCGTCGCTCCGGTTACCACCACCACTGCTCCCGCCCCCGATACCATCATCAGTGGCGTCGGCACCACCACCACCACCACCACCACCACCATCACCATCACCATCACCATCACCGTCGCCATCACCAACAGCACCACCGTCACCAATGCCATCACCATTCCCATCTCCCTGCCCTCTACCATTGCCAACATCACCCCTCTTCCACTGGACCTGCCCTCCAACTCGACCCCAGTATCCTTCTCCTGAACGTTGCCGCCCTCGCCAGTTCTTCCTCTCCCCCCTCCTCCCTCTCCCTCTCCTCTCTTTCCTTCCTCCCCCTCTCTTCCCTCTCCCTCTCCTCCCTCTCTTCTCTCTCCTCCTCCTCCCTCATCCGCCTCGTCGCCTCCTCCTCTGCCCGCCGCGCGATCACCGCCACGCGCCCCGCAATCGCGCGTATCTCCTCGTACAGCACGCGCCTCTGCGCGCGCAGCTGCGCTCTCTCCGCCTCCGTGCTCTCCGCCTCGTACCTGGAGCACATAGCGACAGGAATTCGGATTGATTCAACAAGTGAAAATAGCACGAGCCTACGCGAGGATGCGAACGCGGTGAGAACAAGTGAACAAGTGAACAAGAGGGAAGATGCTCGGAGGAGGAGGGGGGGGGGGTGGAGGAAAGAGAGAGGGCGAGAGGGAGGAGCATGGGGAGAGGAATGCTTGTAGACGAGCTTACATGCCAAGAAGGAATGGCCAGACTTCGGCCCTGATCTCTGCGTCGCATCCCTGCATTAACGGCGCCAGGCACAAAGTGGTAAGCAAGGTGTGTGTAAGGGGGGGGGGGGGGGGGGGGAGGGAAGGGAGGGGGGGAGGAGGAGAAACGGTAGAGAGGACACACTAAGAGGTCAACGGCAGGAAACACGGCAGCAGGTGCAGATGCAACCCCAACCCGAGAGTCTAATACGGAGTGCCTATATAGTAAAACCGAAGTAGCGCGGTCGAAGAGCGAGAATCTAGTCACTTACCCCAAGCCGGACACGACCGATAGCCGTCTCGCCGCCACCCTTCAGCCGGCCGGTTGAGTCATCGAAGCACTCCCTCCATTGCTGCACCGTTAGCGGCGCTGGCCTGATAGCCCGGAGTTTATTCTCCCAGGGCAGCATAAACTGACCCCTGCATCATGACAGCCAGACGCAGGAGGGAATGCTCGAAGAAGAGTGAGGAACATGGCAAGCTTATGTCCAGTTCCAGTATTCCTCAGCAGGTCGAGAAACAAGGAGAATCCAGAATATTAGGTCAGGACTAGGAGGCTGAGGACATAAAACGATGAGAGAACGATGAGAGAACGAAGAAGTTAAGCACATACTGCTCTCGGAGAACGATGATGCCTCCGACTGTTACCGCTGCAGCGACGCCGCCGATCGCGGCGACTCCGACGGCAACGGCTAAGCCTGCAGCGACCTTGAAAGGGTCGACATCCGACGCCATCGATGGCATGCTGATATTGCCTAGGTTGTTAAGGTTCCCGGGGATGCCGTCGATGAACCCCATGATTCCGCGGCTCATGCTGAAAGGATCCCTTGATATCAGCGAGCTAGGTTGTACCATTCAGATACCTATGCTGAACAGATCAGCGAACGAACGGAACGCGGCTTTTCTAGAACGGTATCGTTCACATTTCGGATGAGCCTTAGGAAAGGCACGTAGGGTAGCTAACACGGCAGCAACAGAGGGTTCATCCCGTTGTGGGCTAGCAGTGTGACAGAGACTGCGGAATTCTGAAGGGATCGAATGAATGCTCGTGAATGCATCAGGACAGGCAGAGATGCTCTAGCTTTGGCCAAAATGAGGATGATGCTGGGACAGATGGAGAACTCCGGAATAATGGCGGTGTTCCGCTGTTACCACAGTAGTATACTTATGTTGAACTACGATACCGCGCAATGGAGCATCTGACCGCACTGGATCGCTACAAAGCGAGCTGAAATTCGGCACCTGGGGGACAGTTTTGGGATGTAACCGAGTAAAATATCTGGTGGCGGTGGTGTGGTGGTGCTGGTGGCGGAACAGAGAGCTGTCGCTGTCGGCCAGGTGGGTAGGGGTGGGGGGTGGGGGCGGGATAGCGAGGCGGATGGCGGGAGATTGGGGGAGGTGAGGAACCTTGAGGGAAGAGGGGAGAGGGTGGGGGGTCTGGGCGGGCGGGTCGAGGGTTCCTTCAGGGAATGGGGAAAAGGGGCTGGCATGGGGGGGTTTTGCTTGATTGGTTGGATGCATTGTCCGAGGTCGTTGGTATTTGATCGGACGGTGATGGCGGCTATGCCCCCCAACCATTGAGCGGTCCCCTGAGCCAAATTTCTGACAGCATTGCTGGCTGCCTGGAGTGTGACGAACTTCGACTCCAAACCACGTCAGGTGGACCACGAATGACGGCTGACATTGCCAGCCATGCATCGGCCATGCGTGTGAAAGATGCCTCTGGTGGTTCTGCGACGAATCATGCATGCTGCTTGGGGTTTTCTTGGCAGCTGTGGCAGGATTGCCTTTGACTGCGGTAGTCTCCCAGTTTCCTTCGAAATTTGAGGTTTCTTTAGCCGCACCCTGCCTCACCAGCATGTTTCCGAATGCCACACAATCCAGTCAACAATCGTGCAGTACTTGAGGTTGTTCACTCGCACGTTACACCTAATTTCTAGCGACACATGGTTACCTTGGGCTCAAGCTTTCGCCGAAGAACCATATTTGAGTAGACCTTCTTGCGGCGGGGCCTTGACCATTAGCCACTTTCCACGTCACCTAAAGTCCCAAGCATCGTGGCGACCAGAAGACCCTGAACCACAAGGGATGGGGCAGCGTGGCATTCTGGCGAGCTGAGCAGGCCCGCCGCGTCGTAACACGGCGTGCGGCCAACGTTGCGATACCTTTCACCGGAAATTACGCGAGCCTGTTAGCGCCAGGCAAGGCTAAATGGATTCCCTTACGGCTATGCACACGTGGCTCGCCCACACAGCCACAAACGCCCCAGTGGATTCCAAAAGCGCCTCGACTGCCAACCATTACCTAGTCGGGAATTCCCTAAATGCTGGTGCTTTGCTAAGCGAAAGCGCCAGCCATGCGCTCCGCAATTGTGGCTCGCAAAACCCCATCCACCCAACCTAACCCATTCAGCCAGGGAAAGCTCCGTTGTGAAACTGGCACTGCGGTGTGCCGCCAACGCCTGGCCCAAGGCTTTCTTCTCCTCACAGGCTCACGACACGAGTCACACTTCCCGCTCACGCCCAGCAATCAGTGATCCCTCGCGCGATCACATCAAAACCTGACTTTTACTTTGGTTGAAGTCCCCTTACCTTTCCTCATTTGGCACTCTCTCCCATTACTCAGCTCCTTGTGAGCTGTGAGGAGGTGCATACAATCTCCGTAAGGGGCTATACCTCAGTCACATTTGTTGGTTGCCGATCACCTCTGCAACCATGTCGCACTCCGTCGCGATCCGCAGTGCGCCCGTCGAGGCTGCTCTGCTCGAGTCCGTCGCGGCTCGTTCCGCCGCCTCTCCTCAGCGGCGAGTGCGGTTGGCCGGTCTCAAGACCTTCCGCAGAGGACATGTAAGTCAGAGCTGAACCTACACATTCAGGTGTCGTCAGCACATGTCGTCAGCACGTATCGCGAGCAGATGTCCTATGGACTTCAGGATGCACACTTTCCTGGTCCTGATTCGTCTGGCTAAGCTGTCGATGTTTAACGGTCACGGGTGCCCTGAAAGTGTTTAATGCAAACACGATCGTAAGCCAGGGTCCAAGGGTTTGAGTCTGCGACACAATCACGTCACGTCAATTGGATTTTATACTTTGGGCTTATGCTTTCGCCGTCGCTGCACGCTTTTCATACCTCTCCTGACTGAAAGAGCTGGGTAAAAGCAACGGCAGCTTGAGGCACAGCTCTTGCTAGGCTCCATTCAGCCTGAATCTGTATACTGGGCTTATACTTTTCTCTGTTTCCTTTCTCTGTTTCCTTTCTCTCTTTCCTTTTTCTCTTTCCTCTCTGTGGATGTAACAGCTCGGTCAGAGCATCGCGGCGACAGCTCTAGGAACATCTGCCGCGGGGCTACAATCTAAGCGGAAGACTAATGGCCGATCCGCAGTGCGCGCCGCGGTCGCCGTTGAAGCTCCTGGTATGTCAATGCACAAAATACACTAAACTATGAACACCATGAAGTCAGATTTCCCTGGCGGTCTGTCGCCACCCCTTAAGCTTTACATTGTTCTTAACAAGGAACACTGACACGTCATCATTCCCTCGTTGTAGCTGATCCTGTGGCAGGCGGCGGAGAGGCGGTAACTCGCACCGACATTCGCAACATCGCCATCATCGCGCACGTCGACCACGGCAAGACGACGCTCGTCGACGCCATGCTGCGACAAGCCAAGGTGCGCGAGCGACGCTCCGTGCGACCAGCTAGAACGCCGCAGAGATGCCCTATGCGACCAGTCGGGTCTCAATAACGACATCCGTGGAATCATGCAGTGCTGATCTTGTAACGATCACATTGAATTCACGTGAAAAGCGATAACTCTCAAATATCCCAAATCTACCGCCGTCCCTCACTCCCTTCCCTCTCCTCCCTCTCTCAACCCCCTTGCTCCGTACGCGTTATCAGGTGTTCCGCGACAACCAGCAGATGCAGGAGCGCATCATGGACAGCAACGACCTGGAGCGCGAGCGCGGCATCACGATTCTGAGCAAGAACACGGCTATCCGGTTCCGCGGCACCAAGATCAACATCATCGACACGCCCGGCCACTCCGACTTCGGCGGGGAAGTCGAACGCGTGCTTAACATGGTCGACGGCGTGCTGCTGCTGGTGAGTCGTTTACTGGTACCGGTGATTGCTAGTGAGCCACGGATGCTCAATTGCACCTCGCTTTTGCTCCCTCATCCTCCCCCCGTTACCCGCTCCCCTGCCTCCTCATCCTTCCCCCGCCTCTTTCCCCCTCCCCTCAACTTCTCCTGCGAGTGCTCTCCTCTCCGCCTCTGCGCCCTCCACCCCTTCAGGTCGACTCCGTCGAGGCCCCATGCCTCAGACCCGTTTCGTTCTGAAGAAGGCTCTGGAGCTGGGCCACCGCGTGGTCGTCGTAGTAAACAAAGTGGACCGCCCGGCGGCGCGCGTGCAGCACGTGATCAACTCGACGTTCGAGCTGTTCTGCGAGCTGGAGGCCACGGACGACCAGTGCGACTTCACCACGGTGTACGCCAGCGGCATCAGGGAAAAGCGGCATGGAGCCCGACAATCTGCTGATGATCTTGAGCCGCTCTTCGAGAGCATTATTAAGTGCGTTCCCGGGCCGAGGTGCAGCCGAGCGCGGCACTCAGATGCTGGTTACCAACCTGGATTACGACGAGCACAAGGGGCGGATTGCGATTGGCCGCGTGCACGCGGGAAAGATTGCCAGAGGCCAGGTGGCGAAGATTGCACGCCCGATGGTAACTGCCGCGTGGCGAAGGTCGTCGAGCTGTTTGTGTACGATAACTTCGCCGCGTGCCGGTTGATGACGTGGAGGCGGGGGATATCTGCGCGCTCTCTGGGCTGCCGGACGTGCAGATCGGCGAGACGATCGCGGATCGCGACGGCGAGGCGCTGCCGACGATCTCGGTGGAGGAACCGACGGTCAAGATGAGCTTTTCGGTGAACGTGTCGCCGTTCGCGGGGCGCGAGGGCAAGTTCGTGACGTCGCGGAACCTGAGGGACCGGCTGATGCGCGAGCTGGAGAGGAACCTGGCGATGAAGGTGGAGGACGGGAGAGCGCCGATACGTTCCTGGTCAGCGGACGCGGGACGCTCCACATCACCATCCTGATTGAAAACATGTGAGTATCCTGATATATATGAAAACATATATTGAGTATTCCTGGGGACTGGGCGATGGCAGTGGAGGAGGTTGGGAGAAGCGGACACTTGCCTGCAGACGCTTTGCCCTCGCTTCCTCGCCCCATTTTCTCATGCGCTTTCCGCCCTCTCTCTTGGCACCTCAATTTGCTGGCAGGAGGAGGGAGGGTACGAGTTCATGGTGGGCCCGCCCCGGGTGATCAACAAGGAGGAGAACGGCAAGACGCTGGAGCCGTACGAGGTGAGCAGAGCAGGGAACAGATGCGGGAGGATACTGGCCGGTGGGAGGGTGGCAGTGGCAGTGGCAGTTGCACATGTGAATTCACGGTGGGCCCACCCCGGGTGATCAACAGGGAGGAGAACGGCAAGACGCTGGAGCCGTACGAGGGGAGGTCTGATGCTAAGCCGTACGAGGGGAGGGTCCGATCATAGTCAAGCAGGGTTAGCAAAGCAGAAGATACCAAATCACCATGGCTGAGCTGAGCAGAGCTGAGCAGAGCTGATAACCACGATGAGGAGTATGTGGGGGCGGTGGTGGACATGCTTGGTATGCCCTGTACGCATCATCACCCATCTCCCTCCTCCTGTGTCCCTGCACTCATTCTTTAACTCCTGCAGGAAGCGGTGGTGGAGGTGCCAGAGGAGTATGTGGGGGCGGTTGTGGACATGCTTGGCACACGCAAGGGGCAAATGCTCGACCTGCAGGCCTCCAGGTGAGATACTAGGGCATTCGGCTGGGACGCCAGGGCGCTCTCAGGTATTTGCCAGGGTCCACACATGAGATGCCAGGTGCCTGAGCTCCAGCGTCCAGAAAATCGGAATTTTCAAATATGTTGTGTGCCAACCGGTTGGGTTGGATCCACATGTGACGGAGTCAAAAGTCAGTCACCTGTGACAGACAGTTATGAAGAAAAAAGTGAAATCTCCCCTTCTTTTTTCCCCCACCCCTCCATCCCACTCCATCCCCTTCCATCTCGCTCCCTCCTCCAGCTCTGGCACCA